TACAATCTGCCATTTTCTCCTTTTCTTTACCAGTAGGAAATCGCCTGACAAATGGAATGAGGCAGATAAAGAAGGAGAACAAAAGAATGAGGAGAGCGAAGAGGATGGGAGGGGTCACTTTTATTGATACGATAGCAGATATGAGATTATGAGGGGAGAAAAGGGGGAACCGGATTAGAGAAAGTTGCGAGCTGGACTCAAAACCACATTTCCCACATGAGCACCACAACTCAATGTGTCAGAGCATGTGTGCTAGTGCTACCCGAGTATTTAGTTGTATTTAAACAGGCCCAAAATATATGCAACATTTCTTGTTATGCAAGCTTCATTGCATTTAGTATTCAAGTCAGGTTCACTGGAAAAACGTGCCTGTGCAGCATTTCTGCAAAAGAACATTATGTTGTTTCTTGTACGTTTCACAACACTTTCAACATTAAATGTCCAGTGAGTGGTGCTAAAAGTGAAACAGGCCAATGTGAATCTGGCAATGTTTTATTACTTTGGTTGCACGTATCACGGCAGCTCAGAAATGAAATTTCTGGTGAATGATGCTAAAAGGTTAATGCTCTTCTTGTTTAAAAATAACTTACCATCTACACTGAACCCAACCCTAAAACTAACCGAAAGTGTCAATAAAAGATTATACATTTGCTGAAGCACCCATGTGATTTTATTTTGTTTCTACAAGTCTTTTATTGTGTTTCATGGGACTTGTACCCGGGCACTTCACATTACAAGTGCAATGCTGTACCGGGTGCGCAACCAAGCAAGTTTACTAAATCAAAAAAGCCAAAAATATGGAGCTGGACATGTGAAGAAAATGTGAAAAAGTATTAGTTTACAAATCATGCACTATGGTAAAAGTGTTTTGAGTTCATATATTAAAGAATCGTGCGAAAATAACTCTTTATTAGGGCTGTAACGTTACATGTATTCACGGTTCGGTTCACTCGGTCAGATGAAGAATATTGAATCAGCAGTGTGGGAAAGTTTCGGGCTCTAGAGATGCTGCATTGCAATCATTTTCCAAAATATAATTAGTGTGGAATTTTTATGAAGTCTGTAAAGAGGAGAAAATACTGTACCAGGCAGATCAAGCTCACTGTTTGCGATGCTCGAAATATAGGAAGACAAATATGTGGGGGTTTATATGAATGTATCTCTGAGAGGAACTGACCGTCTTCAGAAATGTTTCGATGGCATTTTCTTTTCCTCTTACCTCAATATAATGCATATTAAAGTAGCGTCTATAAGTGCAGCTGCTTTGTTTACAGTGGTAACCAGGAAACTCTATATCGCTGCTGTTCCATAAGCGCCTCCTGCTGTCAGAGAGTGAATTTGCATTTTAATTCAGTCCGTCTGCTGTTTTTGTTTTGTGCAGGGCTGTCTTATGTAGCATAATTTCACAAATCTAACGTCAGACCATTCTGTTTTTGCTTTAAATTAAATCTTGAAATTATACAATCTAATTCAAATCAAAACAACTGTTCATGCTACATGTATGTAGCACTACTGTCTGTTCAAAATAAATGAAAATCTACATTTCCTGTTTTACCGAACTCGTATCAAACCGTGACCCCAAAACCGAGGTACATACTGAACCGTGACTTGTGTGTACCGTTACACCCCTAGTTTTTATTAATCAATAATCTGCTCCTCTAATAATAATTTGTGTGAAAGGGAATACAATTTGTTGGTGTTTTCAAGTGGAAATTGCAGTGAACTGTATTGTACTGTAGTGTACTGTACAGTTTTTTTTTTTGGAGTTTTGCAGAAATGTATGTAGATTTATCCAGTGAGCCTACATTCTCTCAGAGTCGCTATAGCTGACATAGAAGTAAACTGCCTTGTTTTCTTCTCGTTTAGGGCAGAGCAATCTTTCTTGGTAAGTTAAAGCTAGTTAAACTGATATTTTTATAGCCAGTTACTTGAATAATACTACATTGTGTTTAATGGTACAAACATTTGCAGTGAAATCTATTGCCTCCTGAGAACTGAGGTTTGTTAGCACCACAGTACTGCAGGAACACAAATTAAGTTGGTACAACAAGCATCAGCTCATCTGTGTTTGTATGCGTCTGACCTAAGATGTATACATAGTTAGTGGCAGACCTAAACTATGACTAAAGCTAATGCAGCAAAAGATACTGCATGAACATATAACTCATATACTGTAATGGCTTATAGGGGAAAGTGGATACATTTGCAAAGACACACATTGAATATGTGTACAAAAATGTAAATGTATTGAATATTTCCCATCGCTATTGCCACTGTTGCCCAGGAAAAAAAACTGTGGGGAAAGCTGCCAGGAAGTGAATTGATGGAATTCAAGGAAAAAAACATTGGTCAAAAATATGAAATATTATCTTAGAGTAATAAAGTAGAAATAAATATATATATATATATATATATATATATAGACATCTTCCATTACAAAGTCTTGGAACCATTTGAAAAAGTGGAACAGATCCAAATCTATCCATGAAATTATAGTCTGAAAAAACACATAAACTGAGCAAAAATATGCAATTTGGTACCGTTGTTGATCTTATTATATGGCCAAAAAATGCTGATTTTTATAACAGATAACAGACTACTTACATAAAATGCATAAAAACATATGCTGTTGGCCACGCACACACTGTAAAGTTTCAGGAGTGACAACCGCATTTAAATAAAGGGGTGAATTCTCTAAATGTTGATTTGAAAAAGTGGAACAGATCCAAATCTATCCTTGTATATAAAAGATCATTCATTTTATAACATCATTTTTCATCATTTTTCATCAGTCTTTCTGAACATATAAATGCAGTGAATTGTTTAATTCTTAGTCCGTTCTATGTTTCCCCTCCATTATAACAGGACAGTTCTCAAATGCAAAAGCAACACTTTATTAGGTTCTCATGAATATGCAGAAAATGTATGAAAAAAGGGATGAAACGGCGCTCATAAAGAGGTCTGGCTTTCATTAGCAGAGATGAGAAGCTCCACAACACTGCTTACACTGGAGAATTACAAATCAGTTGGCAAAAACACACTGCAATTAATGCTGGGAGCGAACATAGAAGACCTCCAAATTGCTAAAAACTACTTTTCTGCTGCTCCTAAACAAGGTTTAGATGACTCTCTAACCATTCATCTTTAAGATCACTTTCTGGAATTAAACTCTTAAGGTTATTAAAATATGTTATGGTTTGTTGGCTCGGGCATGAGAGCACTATTTTTCTCTTTTTCCCCTCTCTTTTTATGAATAACGCTGCTGCCATTTTGTTTTCTGTAAACTATAAAGCACAAAGTCCAAACTCTGAAACGAATCATCCAATCTGGATGAAACTGAACCTTGAATCAGAGCAGTAAGAGACATTAACATCACAAAGAGCAAAAGCAGAACCACTGAGTGACTCATATCAACAACACCGCTGTCCTTTTCAGCAAAACTCCCACAATGCACTTGATTTCACAACAGATGAAAGAGCAAGGACATGCTCTCCTTGATAAGATTGTAAGAGTCATGGTATAATGACAACTCTCTTTTTTGTCCAAACCAAAATTCAGACACTTTCATATCTGATAAATAATTGCAAACTAACACACAAAATACACACATTGATGAAAATGCCATTCTGATGCTTTAACATGTATCTGTTCAATCTTTAACAGGAATATGAGGCTGGTACACCCTAGTGGACACATCCAAAACTAACTACAGGGGCCCTACAAGTATTTGGACACCCAATGCGCACATTTAAAAATGCATAATATTTTGTATTATATAGCAAAAATGTAAACAAATAAAGAGCAAATACAACTTCTCAAGCAAAAGATTTCAGAAGAAGTTTGATAGGTTTTGAATGTTCTTTGAAATGTATTAAATAATGAACGAAATCATTTAAAATATTAAAATAATAAAAAAATTTAAATAATTTAAATTAAAAAAAGAAAAAATGAAAAATGAAAATAAAATATAACAGATAACAGACTACTTATATAAAATGCATAAAAACATATGCTGTTGGCCACGCACACACTGTAAAGTTTCAGGAGTGACAACCGCATTTAAATAAAGGGGTGAATTCTCTAAATGTTGTGTGTGTACGGGAACAGTACTCACTCTTGAAATTGCGATGACTGTCACCATGGTAACCTTTCGTGTCTTCGTGTTTGGTATCCACTATTTTTAATTGCTGTAATAGTAATATTACAGCAACCAAAAACTTGTTTGGTCAGCAATTTTATCTAAACCTCTTTCGACAGAGCAGTCGTTTTTGTTTGTGTTTTGAAGGCTACTTTGCAGAGCCCGCTCTTGAAGGGTTGCCATGTCCATTTATTATAAGCAATGCTTATTAACCACCTTTCGGCTTGGCTCATAAAACAATCCGATTTATGGAATTAATAAAGTAGGCAGGTGCAGTTCGCAAAATTTTGTTATGTAGCTCATTTCCAAGATATCACATTTGGATTTGAGTTTATTATGGGCTTGTTCTTATCTGTTGTTTTTTTTTATAGCAAGATCTGGCAACACTAATGAGTCAAGACATACCTTGTTCCCTGTGACTTCTTGCATCGCAACTCCAATACATTAACAACTAGTTGTCCAGTTTGCACAGAACTGTAAATGCGGTTGTCACTACCTGAACTTTTCAGGAGTCAATTCGGTTGTAGAATACGGTTGTCCCGTAACTGAAGTGTGTGTGTACAGAACAGGATTAAGCACCAAAAGGTGAATTGACAACCAAATTTAAGAGCACTACGTACAAATACCAATAATTCCAAACTGGTGGCCGGTAGTGTGTATGTGTAAAGTACTGAAGTTCGTCAGGTAAAAGCTTATTGTTGCAATTTAATCAATCAAAATGCCATTTTATTCCAAGCAGAGTCTTAAATATTTAGTAGGGTTATGTTTCGATGGTGCAAGGAAAATATATTTAGCAGTGCATAAGTTATAACTAGGCTAAGTTGTACCTTACGCACAGATATTGCAATCAGAGCTTACCTTGGCCAGTGAAGTTGTGAAGGGGATCCAAGCTGGCGCTCTGCAGGTCTATGGTCTCCTCGTTCCCGTCATCTGCAGAGGAGAAAGAGCAGAGCGATTGAGCACGAGGAGGAGGAGTGGGTCCTGCTTGAGTCCGTTCCAGCAGATACACCCAACTGGGCATCCAGTAACCAGGTTCTAGTATGCAGGACTCCTAAAAGAGTGCTGGCGCACAGACCCTCGACACTCTTTTGCCGGGACCGCGACTGGCCCCGCACGGTGGCCATGTGTGAAACCGAGGGAAGCTTCCATTTTTTGATCTTCCCCATAATAAAGCCTCAAGTTAGTCTGGCGAGCGGTGACAGAAATGGACAGTTCTGCAGGAATGAACAGCATTGTGCAGGGAAATAGACAGCTGTTGTGGCCTGCTCTACTTTTGTGGGTGTGAGAGGAGAGAGAATACAGTGGCTCTACTGTAAATGAGCTGTTCAATGATGGATTAGCATGGAGCTAACGATATCAGGATCAATTACTTTAGGCCTCGGGGGGCTGGAGAGGCCGGTCTGGCCTATTAGGACAAGAGTACGGCACGTCAATGAGCATTAAGTTCATCTCTGCAGAACAGACCTCTTTATAGATCTTGATCTGTGGCGGAACAAAGCAAACTTATCACAGAGGGGCTCTCATAAGAGCAATGCAGAGTGAAGCAACAAAAACATTGAGTTGGATGCCTAGATTGGCACGAAATGAATCTTTTGAATCTTCCTTGAATTTTGAAGTTTAATCTGTACAGGAATTACAAATGAAGGTCTGACCTGTGGTAATGAAATTAAAATGATGAAATGCATTTGATGCAAAAAAATAAATAAAAAATTAAACACTGTGCTCATCATGGTAGAAAGCTCAGCCTAATCAATATGTGAATATTAGCTGCCTGAGGGTCGAGCACTGTACCAGCGCATACATGTGCAATGTAGGCCAGTGCTGGCCTGACTAATAACAACAACAACCTCTGGTTTCCCAGAGTCCAGTCTTGTGTTTATCCCATGTACAGGGTATTAGGTTCAAATTCTGGGTACAATCGAGATCACAATCAAATTTATTTCAACAATGATGATAAGCTCTGGACATTTTTAATTGACATGGATTAATCTAACAGCCGATCACACAGCAGAAATAAACGTCAAAACAAAACGCCAACAAAAGCCGGTCAGTGCATGTTGCTAATAAGCAGAAAAAAACGCTATATTTTCATTTGATTACATTTCAAAAGATCGATTAAACTGTTCAAGTTTTATTAATTCAAATGAAATCTCAGAAAACACAGAAACCAGAAAGTGGAAATCACAGAATTTAGGGAAAAATAAAATGGATTTCATTCCCTAAATTAAAAGGGAGCTACTCTGTGGAGTTTAATTGTGAACAAATAAGTTATGTTTACATTTATTCTCAAGGTCTAACAAACATGTGGAAAGCATTTTCTTCCCCAATAATGGATATATATATATTAATGGATATTAATAGATAAATATCAATAACGTATGATATGAAAAAAAAATTATGTGATATAACACTTTTGGCCATATCGTCCCGCCCTAGATATGGGTCAAATTGCCCCTAATTGAATTCAATACAATTCACCAAAAATCACACTAAGAAAAACTAAAAAATCAGGTAACAACAGTAAACCTTCAGCGTTAATACTTCTCACAGTACATTACAATATATCTATTTTTTTTCATTCTTTTTTTCACAACTTTTGAAAATTCAAAAAAATGTTAAATTATTATTTTAACATTTTAAGTGCGGAAATACACTTTTTCTGTGGGCTTTCCTGAAAATCAAACAGTAGAGCATGGTGCTCGCAACGCCAAGATCATGGATTCGATTCCCAGCTAAATTCACATGCATGAACTGATAAAAATTCTCTCCTTCATATTTAGTTTTTATATAGTTTAGTTTCAGTTTTAGTTTCAGTTTTAATTAAAGTATTAGCAGAATTAACAGATAACTTCCAGAGCGCAGGCCAAAGAAAGACTTAGGCATAATTTAGCCTTATAGGCAAACGTCTACCGACACAAAATTAACGCATGCTAAGACATTGATTTACGCCTTCTTTCTTTGCGTTAACATTTGGGCGGCGTTATGCAAATTTCCCACATAGTGATGTAGATATGTGGGGGCGTGTTAGAACGAGCCGTTTTAGGTAGGCGTGGCTGACTCTGAACTTTTATAAAGAATATCTCTTTGGATTTGAGACTTTAGTCTTTGCAACTTTACAGATCTTCTTTATGCACCAAGAGCTTGTAACACTCCAAAGAGAAAGGAAAAAATGAAATCGCATCATATGACCCCTTTAACATTAACATGAAGAATATTTGTGTCCATAAAATGAAAGTCAGTGGGATCCAAAACAACACCGGACCCCATTGACTTTCATAGCACGGTCAAAAAACACACAGACATTTTTTTTAAGCCAATGGACTGAAAGTGTAGAAGGTCTCCAAAAAAACATGCAAATTGATAGTTTTGCATTTCTGTTTGGTGACGCAGAAATTACCCACGTCAGCTTTAACTAATCAGCCGCAGAGGGATGTCTAAATGCTCCACAGACCACAGAAACGCACTGACATATCTCTGCTGAGGACTTTCGATTAACCAATGCTAAATTAGCTTCAGCCATTATGTGTACATTGGTGATTGCTTGCCTCTTATTTTCTTAAGGAAATTGCTGTCTTGTTACAGCACATCAAACAGAAATTTACTGTCACAACCATCAATTTTCCATTAGGAAGCGAGCAGGGGAGGTGAGAGGGTGAGATAAAGACATACATTTCTTTTAATTAGGCTAAGGAAATAAGACCAGAGTTATCACAGCAGCATAAACAATAAGGACTGATCCATCTAGCATAACAACATTAACACAATCACCACAATTCAACAGGCCCAGACTATCATGGGGTCTGTGAGGTTTCTTTTGGACTCCCGCTGAGTATCAGGAATGACTTCACAGTGATTATATGATCCACGCATGATGTGCAGATGCTCAGAGTTCAGGTTGATCCCGGGTTTTGGTCTCGACTCTTACTGAGACGCCTGCGAGCTTGTATTTTTCATTAGAGTGGAGGCGATTATACGCACTGTGATCACTGGGGGCCACATTTATCCCACAGCACTGATTCGGATGAGTGAGATTCATTAGGGGCCCAAGTAGTGAAGCTGCGGCTAACAGTTTTTGAGCAGTTGAGTTGAAATCATTAAAGCAGGTGGATAGAAATGAGGGTAATCAAGACCTAATACTACACTATAGTCTCTATAAGTCAGAGCAGTATATACTGTAAAAAGTCTTAGGCCACTAGTATTTTCACCAAAACAAAAATGGTTTTAAGCCAGTTATTTCTATCCTTTGCTGTAGTGTGTCAGTAGGAAATATCAGTTTACATTTCAGGGCAGTTCACCCAAAAAACTGTTTTTGTCCACACAATGAAAGTCAATGGGGTCCAAAATAACATTGGACCCCATTGATTTTAATTTATGTACAAAAAAACATTGAAACACTTCTCAAAATATTTTCTTTTGTGTTCCACAGAAGAAAGTAAATCATACAGCTTTGGAATGACATGAGCAAGAGTAAATGCTGACAGAAATTAAGCCCTCCTTTCGCCACAGTCAGGACTTGGCTTTCTGATATTCCTTGCTAATCAGACTCCTTTATCTTGAATAAAGTGTTACACTTAAATATCATTAAGTACATTAATGATATCTGCCTTGTTCTGTTCTGTTAACCCTAGGGGGTTATTATTGCTGCTTTCCCTGCTTATTCATGACAGGCTGCATGGATTGGCAGGGAGTTTTTTGCCCAGAACAGAACCATACCGCCAAACCAAACTTTATGCTAAGTATCTATCATTATTACGATAGTGGTCCTGACAGAACTTTCATTTTTGTGTGAACTGTCCTTTTAAGCCAAAGAATCTGAACTGTACTGCTTTGGAATTCTGTATATTGTCTTTTGATATTATTCCTAGTTCTATATTGTCTTTGCAAGTCGATTAGTTATGTAACATCTGTGCATTTAATATCCTACTTCTTTCTGTTCTGTTTAGGACTCCACATATTGCTGCTTGCAGCTATATTCATATTCGATAATGCAAGGCTCTTATGCAAGAATCCTATCTGTAGACTTCAACACCATCATCTCTGAACATCTTTAAACCAAAACAAACCAGCTCTCTGTGCCCTTCCCAATCTGTAGATCACCGGCTGTCTGGTTCAGCCTGCAGAAACAGTCATCAGTGAGTCTGTCCTATTCACCTCTATAACTGTCTGGTTTGGTTCAGCCACTAAATCAGGCATAAAAAGTATGCAACAGACAGTCGGGACTGCTGTGAGGATAATTGGTGCACTTCTGCCCTCCGTCCAGGACTTGCACACCTCCAGACTGAGGATAAGACACACAGATAACACAACATGCAGGAACAAGAACAGTTTCTTCCCACTGGCCATCATCATCATCATCATCATCATCATCATCTATAACAGTTAGCAGAGTTTAAAAAACATCATACTTATTTTTAGGATATAAAGGGTTTATTTAAAAAAAAATTTTTGTTTACATGTCTTTACTGATACTTTTAAATTATTTTAACATCTTGCTGGGAGAGAAAAAAAAGCTCCTTTTTTATTCTAATGTATTAATCCTTTAGGACAGAAAATCAAGAACATTTCTAATGATAACTCAAGGCTGTCAATGCAACACACAGACAATAATTTCATAACTTAACAGCTTCACTGAAATGACCGATTGTATTCTGTCCATATCACCTGTGTGTCAGTGCTACAACAGCAGAAAGTGTTATTGAGCACACTCACTTTAAAGTGAATAGATGCACTTGAATGAATCATCAGTGATACAGCGATAACACAGACATCTGTTAAGACAAGAGCACATATATCTACATTCACTTTAGTCATCCTCTCTTACACTCATATTCTCATTTATGGAAGCACATTTACAGAATATGAAGCTTTCTGTAGAAGTATGCATTAATACGGTGCTTCAAGTGTTCAGGCACTTTTTTTTTTTCCATTTT